AAACAAATAAAAGTCGATCACTTTGAAAACAATTTACATGCAAAATCCGATAATAATAATAATAATAATAATAATCGTGTTCGCGATATAAAGAGTTTTATAAATGATTAGATACTTTCGAATGTGTGTGTTGATCGAGAAAGAATATCTTAAATTTTTCTCTAGCATGGGAAATCAGATTCGCACGTTTGTACGTATAGAATAAATGTAATTTTCATTAGAAGACGCGTTCATTGAAACCGTAACCTCAACGTGCTCCGTTTACTATGGACGATGATTACCAAAGGAAAAACGAAAGAAGAAAATCGCTATTTGTGTATCTACGTGCGAAGAAAGTTCAAGAGGAATGAACGCTTAGATACACGTGACCCGTAAAATATTGACTCGCGATATATAAAGCTAGAAGCGTGAATCAAATACAAAAAAGATTCACGGAGAGGTAGGTATTAGGGATAGCGATGGAGATACCTGTCTACGTGAAATAGCAAAGGGATATACCCTGTCGCGAATTAATGAACTATTCTTCGTATTCACTTGCATTTATTTGTTTATAATAAATAAATTTGTTTTCCCCCGGGGTTTTTTTTTTTTTTTTTTTTTTTTTTTTTTCTTACAATTTCTAATAGATTCATTTTTATTCGTGTCCTCCCCCCTCCCCGTCTCCCCCCAGCGTTTTGTTTTATTTTCTTATTATTTATTTTATATTGTCTTTATATTATATTTTATTTTCTTTTTTTCTTTTCGCATAGAATAACACACTTTTTCTTTAACTTATTCTTATATTTTTTTTTTTTGTTTACTCGTGTTACTGAAACATCTCTATTATTTTTTAATTTCGAATAATTGAACTTTTCTTCGTATTCTTGTATTACTTTTAATTTATTATAGAGAAATCTCGTTCTCTTTCCTATTATTTCGAATACTATTATTGATATAATGGTATCCAATCATCCAACACACATTTAACATCTCATTCGAATTTTCATGAGTTGGGAATGTTTCATAAAAATTGTATAATTTTTGTTTTTTTTTATTTTATTTTGTTTTTATTTTTCTCCCAACATTCCAGGTGTGTCATTACGTTTGAATTGAAATCGACATACGACATTGATGAACAAAAAGTAAAGGAAAAAAAATAGAAGAAGAAGAAGAGAAACATACGTAAACATTATGCAACACATATCTCATATTTCCCCGAACGAAATTGTATCGTTACGAAACGTGTTGCCATTAATATAATATTATATGCATACATATTATGCAGAATGAATAAAATTTAGATCGGTTAGAGGTAATGCTATTTCACGTTTGTATGAATATTTCCCATTAAACGTATACATTCTCTTTTTTTTTTTTTCTCTTTCTCCCTTAACCATATTTTATCTAATAGAATTTTAATATTCTTCTGTAGAAAAAAAAAAAAAAAAAAAAAAACAAAAAAAAGTATCAGATCTTGTAAATGTTTTCATTCTCTATTTTTATGTTTTTTTTTTTTTTGCCAAGGGAAATACAAATAATTAAAACGAAAAATATAATTGATTTGGGTTTTTTTTTTCTTTTTCTTTTTTTGATAAAAGATCTGAAACTTTCCCTCTCTTCGTAAATTTTAATATTTATATTTTTTATTACACACGTTAAAATAAAAATATATATTTACGCGTTACGATATTGGATAAGTTAATTTTGGTAACCAACAGCTTCTCTCTCGTGTCTGACACAAACATGTCAAGTAGTAAATGGTTAAAGAAGAAACTAAAAAATACAAATGGTTTGGGAAACATATTACAAACGTTTGCTTTCTACGATTAGATCTCTCTTCGTGATATAGTAGTAGATCTCTCTTGATCGTAGTAAACTCGAGAAAAATAGAAAGAAATAAACAGAGAGAGAGAGAGAGAGAGAGAGAGGAATATACGAGTAATAGTTAGAGTGAGAGTAAGTCGATGAAAAAGAAGAAAAAGTCGTTAGTAAGTCTTACGAAACTTTCGATCGTAGTGTACTTAGCTCCAACAACAGAATCAAATGCTTATTTACAATTGATATAAAATACCTTGTAGAATGAAAAAAACCAAAAAAATCCCCCAAAAAATAATTAAAAAGATAACGAAGTTTAGATGTGTAGTGGTTTGAATATTACAAGAATGTATGTCTGCTTAAATAAAAAAAAAACACTGAACTTTAGAGATTAAGATTAATATTTTATAATGTATGGGTCTCATGTAATTCACAATATAAAAATAACAAACAAATAAAATTTCCAGTTGCTGAAGAAGTCCCAATAAAGGGACGAAACGTCCAATTAATCAAAATGAAGTTCTAGTTCTTTTGAATGTTCAAATCCCCTATACGATACCTATTTATTAATTACAAATTTATTTATCACTTATTCGAGAGATTGTTTTCATTTAAATTTCTCTCACGTATGAACTGCAAGGTATATAAGACGAACAAAAATGATCAGTGTGGGGATCGGTCACTCTAAAAAAAAAAGAAGAATAATATAAAAAAAAAAAAAATATACGAACGATCGTTTCTCTATTGAAATAAAAATGAAAAAAATAAAATAAAAAAAAAAAAAAAAAAA